TTTCCAATTAATTTATCACATTTATTATTATAACCAAATTCCGCCACACATTCTGAATTTCATTGGAATCGGTCATATATATCGTGTTTGGTGCATAATATGTATGAAATCGGCCGAAATATATATGTTAGCTATATCCAAACCTCAACTGATTTCAATATAATTTGGCAATTTTTGCTGGTGCCAGATTTTGTCTCTCTCGCTTTGGGTGCATCAAATATGTGAAATCGGCTGAGTATATATCTGGGAGCTATTATCAAATCTGGCGTATTTGAATATAATTTGTCAAATTTATTTTTGTACCAAATTTAGCCACTCATGCCGAATTTCATTGGAATCGGAAATACGTATCGTGTTTTGTGCATCAAATATGTGAAATCGGCGGAAAATAGCTATATCCAAATCTGAACCGATTTTAATATAATTTGACTAATTTATTTTCTAATCAAAATCCCGTTACTTATTCTAAATTTCTTTTGAATCGAACATACATATCGTGTATGGTGCATCAAATACATGGAATCAGTCGAAAATATACATGGGAGCTATATCCAAATCTGAACCGATTTCAATATAATTTGACAAATTAATTTTTGCTCCCAATTCCGTTACTTATTTTAAATTTCATTACAATTGGAAATACATATCGTGTTTGGTCCACCAAATACATGAAATCGGCCGAAAATGTATATGGGAGCTATATCCAAATCTGAACCGATTTCAATATAATTTGACAAATTTATTTTCGGATCAAATCCCGTCACACATTCCAAATTTCATTGGAATCGAACATTCATATTGTGTTTGAGGCATCAAATGAACGAAATCGGTTGAAAATATATATGGGAGCTATATCCAAATCTGAACCGATTACAATATAATTTGGCAAACTTATTTTTGTTCCAAATTCCGTTACATATTCCAAATTTGGAGACTGTATCTTCAACCAATCAATAGATATGTGCATATAAAATCTGAATTTTTGGGAGGTACCTCCGATTCTGATGCTATATCTCCAGTTCCAAGTGGAAATTCAAAAATGTATATAGCCTATGTTACTTTCAGGCGATGTTGCAGTATATATGGAAATTTTCAGGAAAATCTATTCAGCGTTATATGCATTAAAAAATTTTATTTACGAATATATGTTGGTTAAAAAAAAAACAAATTTAAAAATTAAAAAAAAAAAATATTGCACTACTTTAATGCGTAAATAAACAAAAACATTAGAAAAGCAGTAAAATGAGATACATACACGAAGGGTTTGTCCTTCGGATTTATTTATTTCATAGCAAATACCAAGCGTTCAGTAAACTGCAATCTTTTGAAGTTGAGTGGCATTTCTATTGCAATTGGTGAATTCGAGATTGCAACATACTTCGCCGTAATAAGGGTATTTCAAATCAATTGTTGTGTTGTTTTTTAGTGTTAGCCTAAGGCGTTGTGGATCAATTATTCTTATTAAAATCATATCCCAATCTGATCCGATTTAAATATAATTTTAAACAAAATTACTTTTACACCAAACTCCGCGTGTTTCATATTTCATTGAAATTGGTGCGTCAAATATGTGAAATCGGCCGGGAATATATATGGGAGCTATATCCAAATCTTAACTAATTTCCAATTAATTTGTCATATTTATTATTGTAACCAAATTCCGCCACACATTCTGAATTTCATTGGTGTCGGTTATACATATCATGTTTGGTTATGGTTATCGGTTATACATAACATGTATGAAATCGGCCGAAATATATATGTTAGCTATACCCAAACCTCAACTGATTTCAATATAATTCGGCAATTTTTTCTGGTGCCAGATTTCGTCTCTCTCGCTTTGGGTGCATCAAATATGTGAAATCGGCTGAGTATATATATGGGAGCTATAATCAAATCTGAACGTATTTGAATATAATTTGTCAAATTTATTTTTGTACCAAATTTAGCCACTCATGCCGAATTTCATTGGAATCGGAAATACGTATTGTGTTTTGTGCATCAAATATGTGAAATCGGCGGAAAATATATATGGGAGATATATCCAAATCTGAACCGATTTTAATATAATTTGACTAATTTATTTTCTAATCAAAATCCCGTTACATATTCCAAATTTCTTTTGAATCAAACATAAATATCGTGTATGGTGCATAAAATACATGAAATCGGTCGAAAATATATATGAGAGCTATATCCAAATCTGAACCGATTTTAATATATTTTGACAAATGTATATTTGTTTTAATTTCCGCTAAACATTCCAAATTTCATTGAAATTAGAGATATATAGCGTGTTTGGTGCATCCAATACATGAAATCGGTCGAAAATATATATGGGAGCTATATCCAAATCTGAACCGATTTCAATTTAATTTGACAAATTCATTTTGGCTCCCAATTTTGTTGCTTATTTTAAATTTCATTAAAATTTGAAATACATATCGTGTTTGGTCCACCAAATACATGAAATCGGCCGAAAATGTATATGGGAGCTATATCCAAATCTGAACCGATTTCAATATAATTTGGGAAATCAATTTTTTAGATAAAATCTATCACACGTTTCAAATTTCATTGAAATTGGGGATACATAGCGTGTTTGGTGCATCAAATGCTTGAAATCGCTCGAAAATATATATGGGAGCTATATCCAAATCTGAACCGATTACAATATAATTTGGCAAACTTATTTTTGTTCCAAATTCCGTTACGCGTTCCAAATTTGGAGACTGTATCTTTAACCGATCAATAGATATGTGCATATAAAATCCAAATTTTTGGGAGGTACCTCCGATTGTGATGATATATCTCCAGTTCCAAGTGAAAATTCAAAAATGTATATAGCCTATGTTACTTTCAGGCGATGTTGCAGTATATATGGAAATTTTCAGGAAAATCTATTCAGCGGTTTTCGAGTCCATAAATTACAAACAAACATACAAACATTTTCCTCTTATATATATATATATATATATATATATATATATATATATATATATATATATATATATATATAAGAGGAAAATGTTTGTATGTTTGTTTGTTTTTTTGTATATATATATATATATATATATATATATATATATATATATATATAAAAGAGGAAAATGTTTGTTTGTTTTTTTGTATATATATATATATATATATATATATATATATATATATATATATATATATATATATATATATATATATATATATATATATATATATATATATATATATATATATATATATATATATATATATATATATATATATATATATATATTTATATATATCTTTGCAGGCAGTATGTGCTATTGGTTTTAAAAATTTGATACTCTCTTTAAGTACCTGGCCTTTGAATGGGACTTCAAATTCTCCAATGGAATTTGTCCAACACACCCTGCGCGAACAGAAGTTTGTCTTAATATTATTATCGTTTAAGTTGCAGCCCTTCTGTTCTTGAGGTTTTTCCGATATGGCTTGCTAAAACAGGCTACGCGAATCATAGTTTAGAAATAATGAATGAATGAATGAATAATGAAATAATGAATATATATATATATATATATATATATATATAAAAGAGGAAAATGTTTGTTTGTTTTTTTGTATATATATATATATATATATATATATATATATATATATATATATATATATATATATATATATATATATATATATATATATATATATATATATATATATATATATTTATATTTATATATATCTTTGCACGCAGTATGTGCTATTGGTTTTAAAAATTTGATACTCTCTTTAAGTACCTGGCCTTTGAATGGGACTTCAAATTCTCCAATGGAATTTGTCCAACACCCCCTGCGCGAACACAAGTTTGTCTTCATATTATTATCGTTTAAGTTGCAGCCCTTCTGTTCTTGAGGTTTTTCCGATATGGCTTGCTAAAACAGGCTACGCGAATCATAGTTTAGAAATAATGAAGACTGCGATTTGGGAATCTACCCAGTAGTTTTAATCAAGAAAAAAAGGTCGCCTTTTGGTAAAAATACTAACTTGTTGGGCTAATCATGGATGGAGTCGACTAATATCTTTAACCACTCCGAGTATTTGCCACAAATTATTTCACAAAATTTATTGAATATATGAATGGATTATAAATGTAAATAAACAAGTCTTGTTTTTGTTGTGACAGTTCATTTGAAAGATTTATTTGACAAACTCAGTTACAGAAAATGCAAAGATGGGAATTCTTATTTGAAATGACTTTACCTTCTTTGATTCTACCATGGTGAATACATTAAAATTACATATTTTTAGAAATATTCTTCTGCATTTTCAATTAAATAATCCAAATTCCAAAAATGCATATTTTTGAAACTAAAATAATTTATTGAAAATTAATTATTTTGTTTACATTTTTGGACATATAATTCTGTCACTTGTATTACTTACAAAAACAAATTTTTATGCGGTTGTGTCAATTTTGTGTCTGTATTTATTGTTTTGAAAAATAAAACATTTTCAAAATCAATGATTGGAAGAAACTTAAATTGCGGGGCGTGCATTAATGATAGATACCAGATTCGCCATGGAATTGAAAGATTGAGCATTTAGGATCACATTTTGAGAGAACATGCAGGCATTTCATTCATCTTTCGCGCTATTTGACTCACTTTAAAAAATTAACAAAAAATATCAAATAAATGAGAACAACTTCTTGCATTTAATTTTGAATAATTCTAACAGGAGGCGGGCTTAGCCTCAGAACTGTATTTCTGTAGTTTTACGAAGCTGTTCTACCTCCTTATTGTACCATGCTGTTACCTGTATTTTTCTGCCATGACCTTTAGTTTTAAAATTGGTAAATAATCAAAACAAATGGTTGCCATAAGACTCTACTACAGGTTCGAAATTAAACTTCCTTTCTGGTTGTGCCATATTAGAGGTCTACTTTTTTGGCTTGCTTTATAAACTATACGAAAATCGGATCATAATTAAAAGTTTAATGTTTTTCTTTTTTTCGTTTTCAGACTAAACCGTTATGCGAGTTCCCGATATATCAGCAACAGCTGGTTACGCTGCAAACGTATTCAATCCTATCGGCATTCAAAGAGACACCACTAGCACAAACGCCTTCATTTCAGCACTGGGAAACGATCACAATAAATTCGAGAATATATCGGCAGGGACAGGAACCGGACACTATTACCGGGAGCCGACTAACACAAATTATGCGTCAACAGCAGATGAATTTGTGCAGAAGGCTCTAAGCTCAACACCGACTGAGTATTCAGCAGCGCAGGGCCTAAACGATAATCTGTCACATTATTGTTGCGGAGAGATACCGAAAAATCTAACGAATCTCCAGTCATCGGAGCAATCCGATGAGTGCTATGACAAAGAAGCCAATACCAGTGGCAACACCTACAAAAGCTTTAAAGAGATATTCAACACAAACAAGAGCTTCTATGAGGATTGTGTTCGAGACTTTGAGAATATAAATGTAGGTGTCAGCATCGGCTGCCCCTATCGAATTGTCGCTAATCACGTTTTCTCCTCCTCTCGTTGCAGCTCCTTAAAAATGTTGTAGATCAAGCCAATGACACCGATGTCGTTGGCCATACGTCACATGTGATTCGGTCGCACGAAAACCAGAACAGCAATAACGAATGTGCCCTGTACAGTAGTAAGAACTCCTTTGACAATGACTTTAATCAATATAGCGTTACGAAGTGTGAACACTTGGAACAGCAACAGAACCGTTGTAGGACTCCACCTAAAGGCACTCAAGCACCGGTAGACGAGTGTCTGCAGCTGCCCGATGATAATGACTACGACGATCATTCCATGATCGATTTGTGCAGTGAGACCAAATCAAACTATGACAGTGACGAGAAAGGTAGGTCGACGAGTCTGCCGGTTACGTTCGTTTCATTAGATAGTGGATTTTCCCTTTCTTTTTTTTTTCCAATTTCAGACGAAGAATTTCTGACGTCAGCATCATCGTCAACGATATCCTTGCACACTCAAAAACATTCCTTTTTCCCCAGAGGCATTATCAATCCCAATTACCCGGGATTCCAGCACCTGGCCCATACGCTGTCGGAACATTTTGTGACGAGTTCTCCATCGGAGTCCTTCGAGAGTGATATGTCAGAATATGAGATGGACCTGAGTGCGGATAGTTTCGACAGCCTGACCGAGGACAGATCGCAGATAGAGTTGAACAACTTCAATAATAACACCACACAGTCTATAACCATGAACCCGGATGGATATCCCAATCATCGCCACGAAAATTTCGATTATATCCACGAAGAAGAGGGCGATATGTATTTGGTGGATTGTGACAAGGGTCATCGACCATCTTTAAACGATGACGAGCCCAATCGCAACAGCCAACAGTCGGACAATAATCCCTTCAATCTTACCGACTTGCAGGACGGAGTGCAAAGCAAGTTGACACTGTTAGAAGCGGAGCAGAATAATACGACTCAAAAAGACCAGGTGCCAGTGTCAATAACACCCGATATTCTGATAAAGAACCCCCACCACCACCATCATCACCATCATCACAACCCCCAGAACCACCAACAACAAATTGAGACTCAGTTCAAGAAGGAAAACCGACCCGATTTGCTGAGAGGTGTCAGTCCACACAGCATTAAGGAGTCGATGCATCAATCGGAGCCACCTCTAACGGTGGACATACACCCTCAAAGCCACAACGGCTTCAATGCTCGCCATGCCGAGATGAAGGACGAAATGTCATTCGGCCTTACCCCCGTCGATATTATCGGAGACTTTGGTCAGGAAGTTGAAAGGGAGTTTGGGCTGCTAGTCAGTGGCTATCGACGTTTGGTCGATACCCAGGATAATACGCTTACCCTAATGGAAGATGGTGAAAAGGTAAGATTTTGGGACAATGAAACGCCCAATTTCCAATTATAATTCCAAGATTAAATGATGTGACTTTCAGATATCAGATGCCGCATTGTCCCAGGCAAAGGATCACATTGATTCCAGTAAATATTTAGATGCCTTCAATAAGCAAACGGAGGAGAATCGTAATCGCACTACTACTTTACCAGATCTGGCCGATGACAATGCTGTTGACATTCCAATGCCCACACAGAATGACGACGACGATTCCAAGCAGATGGCGGGAGACTCCAGCATGGAACAACAATTGTCGTCCTCCAATCCCTCGGAGAATCGTCGAAAGCCCAAATACCAAAAATCTTCCTATGACGATCGCCAATTGCCACCGGTGGCCATCGAGTATAAACGTTGTCAGCAGAGCTCGCGATCTGCCAAAAAGCCCACTACTCACAACGACAAAACGACGACGAAAATCCAGAAGATAACACATTCCAAGCCAAGCATTGCCAGTCGCATTCTGCATCCGAAGCGAAACGGGGCCAAACACGACAAGTCGGACAGCAGTTCCAATCGCAAACGAGAGGAGGCCGAACTGCACAAATATCAGCAGCTGATCAGCGACAAAGAGGAGATTCTAAGCAATAGCAAATATGCGAAGCTCTCATCGTGGGCCCAGCATCTGAAGAACTCGGTCAAAGATCGAGGCTCCCGCAACAGTACGGATTTGATATCGCCAAGCGCATTGGGTAAGATGTGCTGAGTTGAGAGTGTGTGCGTAATCGCTGACTTATCAATATTATATCATTCTAGAACTCTTTGATGCCTATAAAATCGGAACGGAAATCGATATGGAACAGCTGCAACAACATCTGAAAATGGCAAAGGAGATAGAACGACAGGTTTGTATTATCAATGATAATAATTCTCATGTGTAGACAATGTATTTCCCCGGTCTTGGCTACCAAATCTTGTATTCGATCTCAAGTTCTCGGTTAGTTATACATAGGTCTGCATTATCAATAGCTCTAATGGAACTAATTATACTTGAACTTGCCACACCCCAATAATGTTCTAAATACACGTCGATATGATATCCAAAAATTATTTTTGTAGTTTTTCCTTATGCAAAACCACAGCGTAATTGTGGTGGCTCAGTATCGGTAGTCATTCTTGTACCAGAACTCCTTTTTGTGATATTCCCCAACCTTTGCCTCGATGTAGTTTTTCACACAAAATGTTGTATAAAATCGTTGAGCTTTATAATAAAACTACATCAACTTTCAAAGTTTTTGGTCTTCATGCCCTCGAGTGCACTTAGGCCTCGAATATTTAAAGTATTGGTCTTCTCAGTTTGACATTTCCTCCTCCACACACAGAGGGAGTTCTTGATTTGGTCTAAAAATGGTACATCGCATGGCATAATTACAGAAGATAGAACGAAGCTACCTTTTAAATACAATTCTTATCTTTCTCAGTGAAAAACATTTACACAGCTTTTATGTGTGTGTGTATTGTTTTGAATAAAAAATTAAAAAAATTGAAATTATTTCAAATTCAGTTGCAGAAGAAATGCATACATGGCAGAATTACAAGGTAACCCTAATGATGTAACTAAACCTTAGGCGTTTTCCAACAAAAGCTTTGCTTAATTCAGTGGCGGTAAACCAATTGGTAATTCCCTCCAATATTTGGTAACTGCGAACTAGACACTTAACTTTCAGGCTTGCACCTCATTTTACCGCCATAACCAATCCCCGGACGGAACTTAATCTTTATTTGGTAGATACAGCAAAATGAACATTATTTTACGGTACAAGAATCGAATTCCCAGATGTACTCGTAAAACTGTTAACATTTTGTTGTTTGAATCGTTTATTTAAAAAATCGGAATGTTTTATTGGTGATTCTAGTTTTCTGTAAAAATCTGTACAGTTTGAAACAAACGCAGTTGGAATTTAACCGAAGACATGTCGAAATTAAGGCCATGCTCAATTTAGATGCGACTCCCCTATGAAGTTGTTAACCGTTTCAATATTTGTTAAATCCAAAATTAAGCACACAAGCTTCCATGTTTATACCACATTTTGAGACGTAACTTCTTTATACAGATACAAAGGTCCTCGTATTCCCGGATAGAATTAAACAAGCTCCAAAGACTTTGCTTTAAAGGATTTGTAAGCCGCAGAATCGCCAATGAGATACTTTCTCGTTGGGATCCTTGTCAAAATTGTGACTGCACCAAATATGCCTTATTCGGAGGGTAACTAGCCGAAATTAGAATTGAATTTGGGTGGAAAATAAGATAGGGGGAATTCGAATGGCAATTTTTTCCCACATATACATTCGATTGGGAGATTGCTCACAAAGAATGTTTTGCCAAAATTATATAATGAATTTGGATAAAAATGATACGCACAGCGTTGAGCCATGCAAAATATTACAATTCACAACAACTTACAAGTTCAAAATGCAATGTTCTGATTGGTGTAGACCAATTTGCCTCAAATTTTATATGTCAAGTAAATTCGCTTTGCTAACACTTTTGACAAATCAAGTTTCCAAAAAAGTTGCTTTGTTTTTATTTTCGTCTACATGATCCAAGGTAGATTTAACAGGTAACCGCATCGGCGAATTGCTACAACAAAGCAACTTTTGTGGTACCCTCAAAATTGTCAAAATTGGCATCTAAGGCGAAAAACATACATTCGCCATGACATTTAAAGTTTTCGGCAAATTTGTTTCAACCAATCAGAAACAAGGTGATTGTTTACATTTTATGCTGTGCGTGAAATTAAGCCAAGTATTAATCCGACTCTTGGGGACCATTGCAACAGCCATAAGTTGATAGTTAGCCCCCGAAATGTTTATAGAAGCCCACAACTGTAGTATCCTCTACGTCATCGACAAATACCACTCATATTCCAGCCAATGTTGGTAACCGGAGGTTACACCGACTCCAGCACATGGCACAACAGTAGCAAATGTTCCCGATCAAATGGTTTTAAAGAAAGAACATAGCACCAATATCGTCACCAGTAAAAGCCCTTTAAGAAGCAGCCGCCGGCTCATCTGAGCCACTTGGAAATGTCCACGATAAATTACATTTCAAGGCCAGTGCTGAACATAATCTCAACAACTAGGATTTAAATAAAATTGCACCACATGCCATGGATTCAATCGTCGGAACACTTTTCATTTTCTTTTTAATTTTTTTACTGGCAATTCACCCTAAACTTGCTCTTAAATTTTGAAATATTATTAAAAAGTACTTTTAGTGAAGAAGACATAAACAAACTTGATTTGACATTTAAAGGTGCTGTCAGCTGGGGTGATGCGACTATCTAGTAGTTCTACCTTGGAGCTGTCAATTAAATTTGAATTCGCTGCAAACAAAACAAACGTCAAAACAAAGGAAATAAGGAAGATTTGCAAAAATAAAGAGGTGCCAGGGAAGAGTTATTTTTTTTCTTCCCCAAGGATGAAAATATGAGGGAAAATGAGTACACTTTGTCAAGTAAAGTTTACACCCACATCACATGTGTGTTCGAACCACTTCAACATGGAGCTTGTGGTAAAATCCGGAAACAACTAAAGATTGTTGTCTATCGCTGTCCTAGGATATCGACTACCACTGAAGCACATCAGTAATACTTGCAATTTGAGATGAGGGGTTCTGGGACTATATTATTAATTTATTATTTTATTTATATTTTGAAAATACAGCACAGATTTTTACAATTCAAGGCGAAAAAAAAAATAGTTTCGCCTCAAGTCTGTTTTTAGATTAATTCGCTCGAGGAAGACCTTATAATTGGGCCATGTTCGCTTATGGCATTTTTACCAGGTTAAATTTTGATATAAACTGTATTGTCTTATCATCTTAGATACACTTTTGTGGATTAACCCCAACATTTCATTCAAATTTTGTCACTAAAGGGCAGCAAATGTGACATATTTCTCTATTTATGCCATGGCGAGAAAACGCTCGTCATGTTATGCCCTGTTTGATCAAACGCATAGCAGTACGTGACATGCAACTAAATGCTGGATGTCTCGTCTCGCATATAATTTTGAATGAGTATGACAGGAAGCGGGAATAGCATCAGGGCTGTATTTCTGTAGTTTTACGAAGAATGGTTAAGGAATTATGCAGTCAGCCCAAAATGCCCTATGGAAATAATTGTTTAACTTAATTTTCGCCAATTTAACCATAACCGTATTTCTGATCCTGTGTATCCCGATTAGAACAATATACATTTTGTCAGGGAGAAACCCGTACTTCCTGTGGCATGGTGTCCCGAAAATTCCCAAATTTCACTTTCTCTTCATTATTTCTAAAACTTAAGTTCGCGTAGGTGGTTTTCGACACATTTCAGATGAGAAGATTTCAAGTCTCATTCGAAGGTCGGCTACTTAAAAAGTGTCAAATTTTAGAAAACAGTAACGCATATTGTGTGCAAAGATTGAAATGTATTATTTAATTGCTTCAAAGTATTAGAATTTATTTTGCATCAGTACTCGGTCAGGTGTGAAAAGGGACAATATCGGCCCGATGCTTCCAGTACCTTCAAAGGTTCACAATTTTGTATAATCTCTCATAAAATGTGAGAAAGATCCCAATTGTCTTCAAGTTTCGTAGATTCCAATATTTCTACAAACAAAAAATCAGACATGAAGAACGGATAGAATAACAATGACGCACATAAAAGGCGAATTTAAAAGCGCTCCCTAGAACTTCTATCAATACAAGATCTAGTGTGAAGATGGGATACAACGGTCAACTCCTTCTAGTTCCTCCGCAACATATGAATGCATGACTTTACCTTCTTAATTCTACCATGGATCGAACCTTAGACAGTGGCACACATGAATCAAAATGGGGAATGTTGTTGGTTACCATTGCCGATTATAAGGTCGACAAATAAGACCAGCTGATACATACATTTACTGTCAACATAATTTAAATTCGCCTGACAACTGCAATAGACGTAAATGTTACTTGTCTGTTTTGTCAAAAATATTTAAATTAATTTGAAAACAATTGAACATTTGGAAACTGTAAATTTCTAACTTCTCCTTACTGGTATTTTTGGGATTATTACAAACTTCTAAGATTTGTCCAAACTTTGACCTTCAGCGAAAATAGAAATATGGTCCTCATCACCTGGCACCTCCCCAAAAACGTGCCAATTTTTTGTAATCGCGAGTGGTAAAAGACTATATCCGTTCACTCCGTTGATATCTCTCCTGAATATTTGTACCCCCAGACTTATGATTATACAAAGAACAAGCCTGTTCGGACATAAAACTGTTCAGACAAGTTGTGTATATTCGGGATCCATCCTGCAACAGCAATCTTTATGACATTTCTGAAAATTAAAACCAGTAAAGAAAGTCCTAAAGTCGGGCGGGCCGACTTTATGATACCTTACACCAGTTTGCTAATTTAGTAGAGCTCCACATAACAATTAAAAGCTATGATGAGCTATCATATAATTTAAAGTTTAAAGGACTAAATATGCCGAAGCATTTGTATCTTTTAAATTCGGACCTGTATTGCCCATTTGGTGCAAAATTCATTTTAAAACAAATAAAGATATATATGGGAGCTATATCCAAATCTGAACCGATCTCGATTAAATTTGGCAAAGACATTTCTGAGCTGTATTTGATATTTCCCTGAATATCGTTGTTACGAATTGCGTATTACGGCTGTGGGTAATAAATACAAAAAAAAATCGGATGAACAATATATATGGGAGCTATAGCTATATCTGAACCGATCTTCACCAAATTTGGCATACTACCTTCTGGACTCAATTCGGTCGTATGTGCCAAATTCCATCCCATGTATAGACGGACGGACGGACAGACGGACTGACATGCATAAATCAACTCA